TTTACTCATGTCGAACTTTAACGAACTCCTCCTTGACTTTTCAACGATCGGCTTCATTCTTGGTCAGAATGCAGTAAAGGCATGGGGCTTTAAAAGTTATCAATAAAATTGACTTTCGTATATATTCAGGGGGCGTGGCAGGGCGGCGAACTTGGCGTACTCGCCAAAACAAACAAAGTGCTATAACTTTCTCATAAAAAGGTCAATTGGCACCAAACTTGGTATCCTGTTGGATGCCTGACGATTCTGTCGTCATCGTCTGACCTCATGTAAGCCCCGCCCCCTCAGAACAGGAAGTGACTTTTTTTTTTTACTTGGAAAGCTCCAACTATGGCTCTCTTGACCTAATCAAGATTATCTTGTGTCAGATGACTGATGACAAGTTGGTCTCACTTGCTGTAAAGTGCCAAGAGTTTTCAGTGGAAGGCGTGGCCGTGGTGGTGCAGCGAAGTCACAGGTCACGCTGCCACCATACGTTTGGCTCTAGATTCCACATGTTTCAGCCCAGCTGCACAAAACTCACTGAGATCGATACTTGTCCACCCCCCGACAGGAATCCAGTGCAATAGTTGGTGGGCGTGGTCTACTTCCTCCACAGCGCCCCCTAGAATATTTTTAAAAAATCAGCCCCCAGCCATGCTTTATCCCATGATTATGAATGGGATAAAGCATTCCCATTCATGTATATCTTGTCAGGACCTACAAAAAAGTCTCTGGGAGCCATGGTCCAAACCCAACAGGAAGTTGGCCATTTTGGGTCAAAGTCGCCCTTTTGTCTATTTCATTGATGTCGTATCTGAGCGAACTCGTCCTAGAGCTTTTGAGATCCAGGCTTCAAACTCAGTCAGCACAGTCTTGAGGCTTTGAGGGTCAAAAGTTACCAAAGGAATATTCCTATGTCAAAGCATGTGGGCGTGCCCAAGCCTCAAATCTGGCCATTCGCCATGAAACATCAAGATGGAATAACTTCCCCAAAGAAGCTCCCAACTGCATCAAACTTAATTGGTATCATCATAGAGCAGATCTCATCACATTCAATTGGTGACATCACTTTAGCCACGCCCCCTTCCAACAGGAAGGCACCTGTTGGAAGGAACTATTAGAGCAGTTAGAGCAGTCTTTCTTCCAACACAAAGAAAGACTGCTCTAAATCATAAATTTTTATTTATTTACAGTAAACATGTTAGGCTTGACCTTTGTCAACCTCAAAAGAACCCAATAGCTTGAAATTGCAATTCAGATCGACTGTGCTTGTGTATCGTCAGGGAGCGCTCCGGAAGATGTAGGTGTGTGTTGCCTGACAGACGGCTGCGGGAACTGCGCGATAGTGTCAGCGGTGGCGAGAGCATGGTGGTGCTGGTACCCCCGCGGTTGCCAATGGGCCTTCGGCGCGCTTTGCTGCGAGGGCCTCCAACGCTGCGAGGGCCTCCAACGCCGCTAGCAGCTTTAATTCTTCATTGAAATCTATTTTCTAATTTAATTCACTTCACAATTAAATTTCAAATATATAATTAGATTACATATTTATTAATCTTCATCTTCATCGTCTTCTGACGCCTCTGCCTCCTCCAGGGCAGCTTGCTGCTCTTCTAAATCTTCTTTCAAAGCTTGCTCTTCCTCTGGGGTTGGGTCCAGGCCCTCTGTGATTTCTGGTCCATTTTGATATTCCATTAGTGGTGGTGGGGGAATGGGTGGGCTGTACACCTCCCCTACATACTTCAGACCCCATCCAATATAAATGTTCTCAAACTTCCTAAGATTAGTGAAAAAGACATATCTGTTAGTAATAGTATTACCTTACAGAGAGAAAACACTAAAACAAACAGTTTAATCTCTTTCTGCATTTACTTTCCACATGCATAAGCAAATGCTCCTGGCCAGAGGTTAGAACGCAGCACAGCTATAGCATGCTGAAAAGTCAGTATGGTGGACACCTTGGAGCTCCATGGAGAAGTATTGAACATTTCTGAAGACACACAAGGAAAGAAAAGGTAAGATTCAGCTGGCTCAACAAGACTGCAGGATTTAAAAAAAATTAAATATCCCAAACACTTCTCATAACTTGTGTCATTATAAAAGTGATATGATGGACCCGTTTAAGTTAAAAAATACCACTGATGGAGTAAGCTAAAAGACCAAAACTGTGTCTGCAGCATCATGAAAACCTTTGTCTTCTGACATAATGCAACTCACAGTTATGGTAAGAAGACAGTGAAAGTACTGAGCCTCCCGGGTGCTTTCCATGTCAAACATGCCACTAAAAGATGTTTGACACCCAACTGCACCCACAGTGCTCACACATTCATTCAGATTGGTAAGCAACTGTTGAGTTAAATGCTTTTACCAGGGGAATGTTTTTTTTTTCTAAAGTAAAGCTTAATGCAGAATGAAAAATAAGTATTTGGTACAACTTTTGAAGTTTTTTTCACTCAAAAAATGGAAAGGTTTTTATCATAGCTTCATCTCAATTGTGGAATACAAATTTTACAAAAAAAAAATCCAGAGAATATTGTGTATGTGCACACACGCACGAACGCACATACT